AAAAAAAAAAAAAAAATAAGTGTCTTTTAATAATTTAGGCTCCAATTATATTGCAAAGTAAAAAGCTGAATATGCATATGAGTTGATAATAAAATGAAATACTTTTATAGTTAGATATGATTATATGTCCCACATCGTATCATCTCATAGTTTTGTTTTATCAGAACATATTTAATTTTTGACAGCATACTAAGGCAATTAGACCCCATAATATATCAGAATTGCCAAAAGAGGAGAACCATTCATTTTAAATGTTAGGTCAAAACTTGAAGGCCATGCAATTTCATCAGTTAAATACTTAAAATAAAAAAAAGTAGGAAAAAGGCTTACAAATAAACTATCTTTTCCAAATTTAATAACAGATCTTTGACTCGATCGACTCGAGTTGAAAAAACGAGTCGATCGAGCTTGAGACGACTCTTATTCTTGATTTGAGGGTTTATGCTTTTACTGAACCGCTTAAGAATATATTCTTATTTATTGAATTACTCGTATTAATTCTCAAGCATGCTTGTTTTTCTCAAATCAATGTTGAATAAATGATACGAAATTTTACTTATTTCTTGATTTTAAAAAGATGTTTTTGCCATATATTATATAATAAAATTGACATAAAGTTAGACTACAAGTGATATGAAAGCTCAATTATTATTGATTTAGAAAATGACGTAAAATATAAAACAACATAGCATGCTACATGTATATGATATTATATTCATTGTAAGATGGCTAAGTTTATGTCCTATTATATTATTGTAAGATGAATAATAATCCTTTTCATAATTGGAGCATTAATATTTCGAATAATAATACTTAAAACAACATAGCATGCTACATGTATATTTTTTGTAACAAAAATACTTAAGTTATGAAATAACAATACTTTTACATACATTTTTAAATATTTCAGCTTGAAAGTATATACAACTATTAAAATTTAAATTTAATTCCACAATCAAAAGAACATGTAAATGATGCATAGTGTAATCTTGTTTTAGCTATTAATAAAATCGAGTTTCGTTTCAATTATCTATTCTTTGGGTTTTTTTTTTTTTTTTTATTATTATTAATAATACCACTATATAATTCCCGAATATGGTGAGCCTAAGTGACATGCTCGCATGCTTCGGGATCCTAGGTGTCAAAATTTCATGCTTCATTATTTGATTTGGATAAATTTTAATTTAATTTCAATCCATAAAGAATTAGGTTCGAATTACCATAAATATGTTGATTTATTTATGATCATTTTAGATGTATTAATTATATATTAATATCATTTCCTATTATAATCATTGAATTGTAAATGTATTTTAAAAGTTGATAACTTTTGTATTTTTTATCGGTTTTACATATATAATATATTAAATTAATTTTCTTTTGATGAGTTTCGATTTGACATCTATATTGTATATATAAAATAAATAAATTATATTTATCTTTATAATAATAATCAAATTATTTTAACTAAATAGAAAAATAAAATTATTTCTGAATTAATATATTTATGTTTAATGCATTTATGTGTTATAAGTTAGAAAAATTCTCCCTATATATAATTTCCGAATGTGTTGACCCTAAGTGACAGTCTCGCATGCTTGGAAATCATAGGTGTCAAAATTTTATGCTTTGTTAGTTGACTTGTATAGATTTTAATTTAATTCCAATTCAAAACTCATTAAGTTCGGATTACCATAAAATATATGACCATTTTAGGTGTATTAATTGTATTTTAATATCATTTCCTATTATAACTGTTGAATTGTAAATGTATTTTAAAAGTTGATAACTTTTGTATTTCTTATCGGTTTTACCTATATACTGTATCAAATTAATCATCTTTTGATGAGCTTCAATTTGACATCCTTATTTATACATAAATAAATTAATTATATTTATCTTACAATAATAAAAAAATATTTATTAAAATTAATTAAAAAATAATATTATTTCTCAATTAATATAAACATATTTAATGTAGTTATATGTTATAAGTTAAAAAAATTATTATAATATAACACATTAAAGTAACAAGTAAATTGTAACAAGTACCCGTGTAATACACGAGCATTGTACGTGGTACTATAATATAACACAACCAAATCGCACAAGTAACAAGTGTCATACTAAAATATATAATAATATATTTTTTCTTACAAAAAAAGGTATTTAAATTTACAACTATTTTTTCTCATTAATTTTAAATTTTTTTAAAAAAATTAATAAACACCCGTGTAATACACGAGTGTTTGTACGAGTTAACATTGTTTTTCTTGGTTCCCCTCGCGTGTCACGTGTACACAAAACAATTTCTCTAAAGCTCAACTAATTTCCAACCCCACAATTGAAATGAAAATAAAACAAAAAAGGGAAAACAAAAAAGTAAACAAATAGAAATTATCGAAAAAGACATATCCGCTTCACACTCCGAAAAAGAACCAGTAAACACCACAAAACTCCCTCACTCATCGCACACACCTTCACTGTGAGCTTCATAATTCCCTTAATAAAGGGGAAACAAAAATACAAATTTTAAAAATTATGAAAAATCAGCCAATTTTGTCGATGTAAATTATTCTTCTGATAATTAATAAATAAACTGTGATAGAATTAAACAAAAATCGCATCAAAGAATGGAGGAATCTAAGGGAAATTATGAGCAGAAGAAAATAGCCATAAAATTGGGTGGTGGTGGTGGTGGAGGTGGAGGAATCGGAGCCGTCGTCGTGTTGGGCGGCGCGTTGGCCACAGCCGCCTTGGCTTCCGCCTTCGTGGTCGGCAAAAGCGGGTGGAGCTCCGGCAAAGACCGCCGCCGCCGCGGCGGTCCGGCACCTGAGTCTTCACACGTTGATGACGATCCAAGGTTCGTGAAAGTTCTTTCTATTTTTCCTTTGGAAATTTATTAGTATTATTATTGAATATGTTGAATTGTTTGATTTTGCAGAGGTGAAACAATTGAATCTGATAATGATACTAAGCTGAGCTCAACACTGGTAAAAACTCTGTGGTCTGTGCCATTGTTTTTTTTCATATTAATTTAGATACTGCAATATATTTATGTTTATTTATAGTGTTTTTTCATTTTCTAAAAAAAAAAAAAAAGTGAAGTGCTACATCTATATATATATGTTCATGTGCAGTATTTATTTTGTGTGAATTTTTTTCTGGAATTAAATTTGCACAGAATGAGAAGCCCAAATCAGAACAAATCAGCAATCGAACACTGGACATAGAGACGAGCGAAGAAAGCCTAAGTCCGGTTACTCCCGAGAAGCTGGAAACCTATGCCACCTGTAATGGTTCTGTCGTGATGGAGGAAAAAAATCATTTGTTCGAAAAGAAATCCCAAAACGAGCCTCATGATACGTTGCATGAAGACAAAGTAACAGCTCGGTTGTCCGAGCAAGTGCTTTTTGATGAAGATTGTGTAGAAAGTGAACATATTGATGAGATGACTCGGAAAGTAAAATACCGAGAAGAAAGTGATGAGATTTTAGTGGATAAGATGATTGATGAAGTTCTTATTGATGAGAAGGAGTCGGAAGAGAAATTCGATAAGGAAATGGATTTGGAGTCGAGAGAATTGAATGAAGGGGAAAATGCGAATGGGGAAGAGGAAAAATGCCAGTTGCCCGTTGAGATTTTGGAGATTGTAAAGGAGGATCATATGTGTTTTGAGATTGAGGGGCATTTGGTTAAAAAAGAACATGAAAAATGTGATGAAAAGAAAGTAGAAAAATGCGAGGACCTAACTGAGGTGGTGAATGTAGGTGAAGTTCTTGTTGATGATGTGAAGTCGGAAAAGAAAATCGATAAGGTAATGGATTTGGAGATGAGAGAATTGGATGAAGGGGGAAATGCGAATGAGGAAGAGGAAAAATGCCAGTTGGATAATGTGTGTTTTGAGATTGAGGGGCAATTGGTTAGTGATGAAAATAAAATCGTGGTAGAAAAATGCGAGGACCTAATTGATGTGGTGGTGAATGAAGGTGAAGTTCTTGACGATGATAAGAACGATGAACAAGCTTGCATAATCTTTCCCGATTTGAAAGACACGAGCTTGTTGGAAAAGGTTAGAGAAGATATGATTTTGTCCAAAAATACTGAAGTTACGAAAGGCGGTCTCGAGAAAGATATTGAAGATGAAGTTGGGTTCGAGCTAATTTCCCTTGAAAAAAGTGTAGTTGAGAAAGACCACGAGAATGATGATAGTGAGAAAAATACTGAAGAGGAAGTTGAGTTCGAGCTAATTTCCCCCGAAAACAGTAAAGACTATAAAAATAATGATAGCGAGAAAGACATTGAAGAGGAAGTTGAGGTCGAGCTAATTTCCTATGAATCCTTTGAAATGAAAGCCAATCGAATAAAGGATCTCGAAAAAGAAAGTGAAGAAGAAGTTGAGGTCGAGCTAATTTCTCTTGAATCCATTGACGTGAAAGCCAACCGAAAAAAAGATCCCAAGGAAGTTGAGTTAATTTCTCATGAATCCATTGAAGTGAAAGCCAACCAACAAAAAGATCTCGAGACAGAAAATGAGGAGGAAGTTGAGGTCGAGCTAATTTCCCATGAATCCATTGAAGTTGCTCAAGACCATGTCGAGACAAACATTGTAGCAGAAATCAAGGACTTGCAACCTAAGACAGATGCAAAAACGGAGGACAATTTTGTCGAGGAAATAAGCAAATCCAAAGATAACAGCCAATGCCCAACCGAAGATATAGGCATTGAGAGAGGCCGAGAAGTTGGGGGTAAGGTTCAAGAGGATAAATCGATCGAAAAATTCGACCACTATCCTCAAGATAGCCAAACAGAAAGCAATATCGTAAAGGGTTTTATCAAGTACGTGGTTGATGAGCTGGCAATGTGGAAGGATTTTAATTTCGCGAATTCAACACATCGGATAATAATCATAATAATAGCTGTACTGTCCGTGGTATCGTCACTCTCATGCTCGTGGTTCTTTGGCCTATCCTTTGCAAAGCTATGCATTGTTGTGTTCGTGACAATTCTATTCTCGTCCATCGTTGCACTTGTCGAGTAGTTGGCGCACGTGTATTCGACTAACGATTGTAATAAATTTTAAAAGGTTTTTTTTTCCTATGGAATTAATAAGAATGGCCTATGGTTGTTTCTGGTTAGTGACTGTACAATTCTAATAAGATTCATAGCTACTAATTGGAGATTTAAGCTCCAAAAGTTAAATTTCATTTTTAGTCCACTATGTTGACCATTTTTCGAAAAAGATCCATCATATAGGGTGTCATCAATAATGGTCCACTAAATTGTCACTTTTAATCAAAACTCGTACAAATGCCAACATAGTGGACTAAAAGTGACAATTTAGTAAATCATTATTGATGACACCCTATATGATGGACCTTTTTCGAAAAATAGCCAACATAATGGACCATTTTTGAAATTTTGCCGAAATACAACTGAGATATTATCCCCTGCATTTATCTAAAGAAAAAAAAATGAAAAAAAATGAATGAACCATAGAGTGAAGACGCCGATGAGTTTTATGGGTTTTTTAGTCTAAAATAAGACATCTTTTTATAGAGATTTAGTAAGCGAATAATGCTATAAGTACATAATATTGTACATAGGGATGTACATAATACTCACATTTAGTGGGACCTACCAAAATTAAAAAACTAAGTGAACCCACTCTATGTGAGTGTTACGTACACCTATATATTATGTACATGTAACATTTTTCATAGCATTACTCTTTTTATCAGTATTGTCAGCTAAGCAAAGTAACAAACTTAATTTTGAACTCAAGCTTTTGTATATTCCAATAAATTAATAAATAAATAAATAACGTACTTGAAAATATTATTATAAAATATGCAATTGCTCGAAGCAACAAATTGCTGTCCTAACAAAATTGCATATTTTATAATAATATTTTATAAAAAATAGTAGCCTCTTAACGCGTTGTAAGCAATATTTTATATTTTATAATAATATTTATATAATAATATTGTAATATGAGTATGAAATTATGCATCTCTGCTTGAAATACATGTCTAGCTATCTCACAATTGTTTTTTTTTTTAACTACATGTTTAACTTGTTTGTTTAATAATAATTAGGATTAAAATGGACAATTATCACCTTAAGAGGCAACTTCGTGTTTTGTTAGGACATGCAATTTTTTTTGTATATTAATATTGACGTACGAACCACGCTGTAAGCAATACTCATGCCAACTAATCCAATATGCCTATCATGTAATTAAATCTTCTTGGTACACATTCACCCCAGCACGTAGTATATAATTATCTCAATATATCATAATTTGTACAGATGTATCTTAACTAAAATACTAAACCTCGGAAAAAAAAAAAAAATGAATTTATAAATGGCAGCTAATTAAACTCCTCAACAAGCTTAAATTTACATTAACATGCTCTTGACTTTGAATTATATACATTAAAATGTATATTATTCTAATAATATACACTCCCACCAGGCCACCACATAACAATTACAAACAACCACAAACTATTATAAAAACGCGACTTAACCAAAAGAAGTGCAGAAATCGTCGATCGAGATAGTAAAACGCGCTTTCAGTACAAGCCCAATAGGGGGGCGTTGACTCTGTAAAAAATAACATTTTCCACGTCCAAATTGTCATTTCTTTAACCAAAATAAATACAGCAAATTTAAATTTATTTAAAATAGCACAACATGTATTTCCTATGTCACCTATATAAACCCACACAATCACAAAGTCATATCACAACAAATAATTCATTAAACTCAATCACATTTGTTTTTATTTTTTTCATTTTTCTTTTTTTATCTTACAAATTCCATCAATTCAAATGATGATACCAATGCCCAAAAACCCTCTACACTCCCAATTCACAACTCTCTCAATCCTAATTATTATCCTCCCACTAATTGCTTTCTCCCAACCCAATTCACCAAATCCTACACCACTCTCCACAATTTGCAAATCTACCCCTTATCCTTCTTTCTGCAACACCATTCTATCCGACTCGAACTCCTCGGCAAACATATACGACTATGGCCGGTTTTCCATCCACAAATCCCTCACTTCAGCGCGTAATTTCCTGTCCCTCATCCAAAAGTACCTCCAGGAGTCGAAAACCCTAACTGTCCCAGTTGTCCGAGCTTTACAGGACTGCGAATTCCTCGCGCAGTGCAACTTGGACTACCTAACAAGCTCGTCCCAAATTCTTGACCGAAACTCCCAAACGCTCCCCGATCTCGAAGCCGACGATGTCCAAACCCTACTGAGCGCGATACTAACGAATATCGAAACGTGCACAGACAGCCTCCAGTCGACAGCCTCCGCATGGAGCGTCACGGACAACGTTCTAACACTGTTGTATAACGACACGCGTCTTTACAGCGTGTCGTTGGCTTTGTTCACTCAAGGTTGGGTTTCGAAGGGTAAAACAAAAAAGCCCGTTTTCACCGGTTTCGAAAGGAAACGACTGAAATCGGTCGACGGGCGATTCAATCTGCGAATGCACGGGAAGACTCTCGAAATCTACCGGAATGTGAGCCACCGGAGGCTGTTACAGTCGGGTGGCGACAGTAACAATCAAGTTCAAGTTAGTAACATCGTGATCGTTAGCAAAGATGGGACTGGGAACTTTAGCACGATTAACGATGCGGTGAGGGCAGCCCCGACTAATGCGAACGGGACAAATGGGTATTTTCTTATATACATAAAAGGTGGCGTGTATGAGGAATATGTGTCCATTGCTAGTAACAAGAAGTACTTGATGATGCTTGGTGATGGAATTAATCAGACGATTATTACCGGGAATCATAGTGTTGGGGATGGATGGACCACTTTCAATTCTGCAACTTTTGGTAAGTAAATTAAACGTTCTACTTTACCTTTTTTTTTTTTTTTTTTTTTTTTTTTTTTTCCTTTTTTAATATATAAATGTGTATATATCAAGTAGGACGTATTGCTACTTGCTAGCACGTTAAAATGCATATCACGTACTCACGTTGCATCTCCATTTATGTACCATCAATAATTAATTAGCTAGGTTTTTTTTTTTAAAATATAATTTTAGTCTCACTGCAAGAAAATGATAAAATTCCAACGAAAAATTATTCTAATAAAATTGTTCCAACGACAATTCCAACGGATATTTCAATAATATTGTTTCCGTTGGAATATCTCAATGGATTCCAACGGAAATTCCAACAAAAATATTCCGTTGGAATGAGTTTTTCATTGGAATTTTCGTTGGATTTTGACGATTCCAACAGTGGATTTTCCAACGAAGGTGGATATAAAAATTCCAACGGAAATTCCTACTGTAAAAAGCCGCTGGAAATATAGTTGTTGGAATCATCAAATTCCACTTTTCGTTAGAATCATTCAAACGGAAGTCATACCATTGGAATATCCCTTGAAATTTCTATTGGAGTATTTTACCATAGGATTTTCCGTTGGAATATAACATTTTTTGTTGTATTGTCTTTATAAACAAATTTAAGTAAAATAAAAATATGAGATTTTAAGTTTGTTGGACCAAACTTTTAGTATATAACTTTTATGGTCCGTTTTGTACGATCGTTTTTTAATTTAAATTTAATTTCATAACATAATGCTTACCTGAAACTGAAAGTACCATTATAAACGTACCATCTCGGGTGGAAATTAAAAGTATTTTACTATTGTGTTAAAAATAAAATTGTGCAAGGGTATAAACGAGTCGAGGCGAGTTCGAGCTGGGATCATTAACCTAACAAGCTTATGATTGAGCTTGAGCACGGATTGTTTATCAATATTAACAAGCCGAGCTCAAACTTTAACGAGTCAAAATTGAATCGAACAATAAAAAAATATATGAAAATTATTTTTTCGAGTCTTAAAAGAATCTTATCAAGCTGAGCTTGAACAAACTTCAAATTAACTTGAGCACGGCTCATTTATCAAACAAGTAAAGGCGAATCAAGCTCACCATCAGTTCGTTTAACTTAACAGGTGCTTATGATCATTTTGGGTTAAAAAGTCTAACTTGGTGAACTTCTCACATTTAGGGGTGACTTAACTTTGGGCCGCTGCCTTTATGGGCTTCTAAAATCATGTGCATTTTTTGTGCTTAATGACCAAAATGCCCCTCATTATTAAAAAAAATTCAATAAAATCATGTGCATTTTTGGTACTTAATGACCAAAATGCCCCTCATTATTAAAAAAAAAAATTCAATCATTCATTCATTCATTCATTCTAGAACCTTTTCACTAACCCACCGATTTTTCTTTTTCCCCTTCCGGCAGCCGTGGTGGCCCCTAACTTCATCGCCGCCGACATTACCTTCCGCAACACGGCGGGCCCGGCCAAATCCCAGGCGGTGGCCGTACGCAACGGCGCCGACCTCTCCGCCTTCTATTACTGCAGCTTCGAGGCTTACCAGGACACCCTCTACGCCCACTCCCTCCGCCAATTCTACCGCGATTGCACCATCTCCGGCACCGTCGACTTCGTCTTCGGCAACGCAGCCGCCGTCCTCCAAAGCTGCAACATTCTCCCGCGCCTCCCTTTGCCCGGCCAGTTCAACCCCATCACCGCCCAGGGCCGAACCGACCCCAACCAGAACACCGGAACCTCCGTCCACGGCTGCAACATCACCGCCGCACCAGACCTCGCCGCCAGCAACGCCACCGTCCGGACCTACCTCGGCCGGCCGTGGAAGCAATACTCAAGGGTCGTGTACATGGAGTCGTTCATGGGGAGCTTGATAGACCCGGCCGGGTGGAGAGCGTGGTCCGGGGATTTCGCGCTTAACACCTCGTACTACGCCGAGTTTAACAACACGGGGCCCGGGTCGAACACGAGCGCCCGGGTTACGTGGCCCGGGTTTCACGTGATTGACCGGACGACGGCGGAGAATTTTACCGTGTCGTCATTTTTGCTCGGTGATTATTGGCTGCCGCAGACCGGAGTGCCTTATATCGGAGGACTGTTTTCGACGTAACTTGTAACTTCATTATAATTTAGTTTGTCGATTGAAATAAAATTCTTGTGATTGTTCATTTATGAGGCCATTACTCTTCTATGCAAATGAGCATGTTGTAGTTTTTGACCTAGTGTTTGTTCCACATGAAATGTATACCAAAGTGTACACACACTTTGGATTACAATTGAACTTTATTATCTCCTCTCCAGAATAATTAAGAAAATTATAATTTATGGATTATTATCTAGCCCTAGTTGTATGTTGTTGGTGAAATCAGTGAAATTCGTGTTGCGATTAGATTAACGGCATGCTCCACGAACCTGGTCGGATTTCGAAAAGGCATAGGAAAATTAGTATATGAATACAAAAGCATAGACAATCATACAATGTTTTTCAACAAATAGACGTACTTACACATGAAACACCATTTCTAAGAAATCGACCCATTAATGGGTCGAGCAACAATATTGAGCCCCGGATTTCAAAAAAAATACAGAAAGATTAATGTATGAACTATGAACACAAAAGCATAGGGCAACGGGTCGTCTTACGCAAGAATTTGTTTTCATTTTCTTGTGATTTTCAATGCAAGCTTGTTTGAATCGAAGAGTACAGACAAAATCAAAACTATTGTGCCTATATAATTAAATTTAGAAATTGGAAAAATCGAGAATAAATATGTACAATTCCCACGACAGGCGAAGCCAAATTGTGTAAATCTTTACACGAATAGACCGCATAATCGTTGCATAGGAATTGCATAATTGTCGCATCTTTATCACACAATGTCTTCGCACTTTAAATTTTTCCACCCATAAAGTGCAAATGGTTATGTAAATGGATCGCATAACTGTTGGACCAGTACAAAACACAACTGTCGCATATTCATCGCACACTACATTCGCACTTTCTGAAATAATTAACTTATTAGCGGGTCCATGTGAAAAAACTTAATATATTCCCATAGTGAGATGAAATTGACTATTATTTTCCTAAAATAAATCATATACTATAAGATAAGTGTTAATATTAATAATTAGATTATAGGTTCATTGCAAATCTTAAGAAACAGAGCCCACATAAGAAGAAACTTCAAATAAATACAAATTAGGAAGAATAATTCATGAATTCCTAAAATGTCATTCCCTATATAGTAAAGTTATGTATATAGTAAAATATATACATAGTTGTTATAAAATATACAAAAATATACAAAATAGTGATGATTTTCCACCAAATTTGTGAAAAATCAAACAATATGAACTTAAAAAAGGAAAAAAAAAATCATCAAACCACAATTGCCTGGTTTGGAAGTGAGGATATCCACCCAAAACCCGAACCCGAACCTACAACGCTTTCTTGTGAATTCTCAATGGGCCCAACCGAGCTGCCCGTGCCTCGGGCCCTTACCCGGGTCCTGCAAACCGGGCAGCTCGAGTGGGATTGGAGCCACATGTCTATACACTCGACGTGGAAACAATGCCTGCAGTCGGGCATGAC